GTTTCATTGTGTCTGTCTTCTTTTCTAGTTAAACTTGTCTCAAGAAACAATGAAAAAATGCCACTTGAAGACTCAATAAACCAGTCTGTTCTTATAAAAGGAGCCCAGACAAGCATATTTTAATATTTAAGACATACACAAGTATTCATTAGTATACAAATTCAAGCACATAAGCCCAGACTTTACACCAGATGATTATTTGGAGATTGTGTGTAGTTGTTGTGGATTTTAAATAGTTACAGCAACTTTTAGGAATTAATTCAAGTCTTCTTCGTATTTAATGTCAAGTGCTGCTCCCCAGGGTAGGTATCATATTTAGTTCTCTCTTCCCATTTAATTTTATTTTTATGATAGATTAAATTCATATATACATCCAAATCCTGATGTAGGAGGGAATAAAATGATAAGAGTTTACTTTGGAGGAAAAATATCAGGGAAGAAATGTAGCTCAGTAAACCTTAAGAAGAAAAGTGTGATGATCACGCCGCTTTGACCAAATTTGTGGCAAGCATGCAGACATTCTCAGTTATGCAAACCTGGGGTGCCTACCGTTCCTGCTCCTAGCAAGACCTGTCCTTATTGTGCGGTTAAATTTACTGACAAACTTACACTTGTTCATATTTTATTCCATTAACGTATCATAAGTGTCTCAAAGCCACAGACAACAGCTAAACCTACATTAGACTTCCATGCGTTCATTGAATGCAAATTCAGACAAACATTATCAAAATTCTGAAGACTTCCCCCTTTGCTCATACCCCAGGCATGCTCATCTCCACTGGATTCAGCAACTCTTGTCTGCCCATTCAGCCAAACGACTGAGAAATCCTGAGCTTCACAGCTGAGCTTTCATGAGCATTTAGATGTAAAAGACATTGTAGCTTAAAGAAAACACCACCAGCACAGCTTTAAGAGGAACATTTCAAATATTTTCAAATATTTTCCTCCTAACTGCCCTAAAAATCTGAGAATCTACAGGGAAGGTGAGGTCTGTGCTTAGTCTTAAGGTCCTCAGATAGGCAAAGACATTGAGTGTGGCTGGGCTGCATTTCTCACAAGGCCCGACACCTTTCCAGAGGTTGCACTGTTTCTGCAAGGCCTGGTGGTTACCTTTGTTTAATCACCTGCCAACTCTTCAGTGTTTTTCCAGGAGGAAGAAAAGGGTGTTCCTGAACTGTTTGTTATAGTTAGGCATAAAAATTCAGAATAGATTTTTCTAGTCAGTTAACCATATTCTTGAGGGAAAACATAAGGTAGTATGATTATTAAAGAGCACTCTCAGTAATAGTCACATCTTTATTGTGTCAACACTTTGCCAAAACAAAAAAAAAAGATTTATAGTAAAAGCCACTTACATTTCTTCTTTGCAGAACCAAGCCATCTGCCTCCAATATACCATCAGCCCCTGCTAGATGAATTCGCACATATTTTAAAGCCCCAGAGTAACCATTAGAATGGAAATTGGACACTACTTGTCATTTGCAAAGCTTTCTTAACTGGAGAGGCTTCCCATTTGTTCAATTAAATGTTTGCATGTGCAATACACTTTATAAAATTCATCCCAAAACAGTGAGGACTGAAATAATATTGGAGGCAGATGGCACAGCTGTTTCATTCAGAGCTATCCTCGGCAATACATGAAGTGATGGACAGGACGGTGAAGTGGGAGTGAAAACTTGGTATTATGAAGAATATTATCCATGGCTTTTAGCAATAAACAAACCATTTCAGGGCCAATCTTCCCTCCCCTATCATATGTAGCTGTGTGACTCACTTGAGTTTATTTAATTAGAAAATACTCACTTAATTGAACAAGTCACCCACTGAAGCCATGTAAGGTTTTCCCTTAAGAGAATCCATCCCTCTGCCTTGAAAACTAAGGGAACCTGAAAACATGTCTCACACTGACACAAGGAGGCAGATATTTGTATGGGCTGAGGAGGCAGCCTGCATGCAGAAGCAACACAGACACCAGAAGGAATAGGGAGCAAGTTTAAGCTGCTGCTTATTTGCATGCCTCTCGCAGAGCAGAAATCATTGCACCATGCTCCAGATGCTGCAAATCTCAAGATGCACATCCAGGGTCATAATTAAAACTGGCAAACATTTTCACTGAGGAGAAGGAGACAAAAAACCAGAGCTATCCCAGCCACTCTACATCTGTTCTGAGATTTTTGGGGGATCTGTTCTACTGCAGTATTAGGAAGTTTCAAGGGAAAGGGCCTGCAAAAACACTCCCTCACAGATAGAAGACCTGAAAGAACCTGATGAGAGCATACCTCTTTCTGTACAGCACCTAGACTGGGGCCAGAGGTTCGGTAAACTAAATGAGCAAAGTAATCTAAAATTTCTTCAAAAAGATTTTTCAACCCTCATGAAAGAAAATAGCATAGAATTTAGAAACATATTTAAACCAAAAGAGGTTAGCAGGAAATGTTTTCATCTTAAAAAGCACAGCTTTACTGGAAAACAAAAAATGAGGGTCACAGTTATCCATTGCAAGACAGCACATATCCCACAGAAGATTTTCCTTGAATGCAGAACAAAAACTGCTTGGGGCGAGAAGACAGATCCCAGTCCTTATATCCATGAGTAGGAAATGGCAGTAGCTCTGTGGGACCCCAATCACCTTTTCTGCAGATTTAACAACAGTCAAAAAAAGTTCCAAGACCAAACCCAGTTAAGAAACAATCACAGAAACCAATGGACAGGTCTTGCCACCTCCTTTCCTCCCCACAGCCTACTCTTTTCCTGCTTTCCCCTTCAAGCCTGCAGCCTATTAGAGACTTTCACAGCTGGAGTGCTGCTGAAAACAGAAAATCTGTTTTGTACAGACTGTCAGTGAGATGAAGAAAGTTCTCCATAGGTGCCATGTGACAATAAGGCGCTGGGGAGAGAATGCTGAAAAGCCAAAAAGTACATCCCAGTTCACCAGAACACCCAGGTTTGAATAGGTTCAGCTGGAGACTCTTATGCCTAATGCCTTAAGAACAATTAGAGGGAAAAAAAACCCTGCCAGTGCACAAGTAAGGCAGGTGAGAGGGCACTTAGGAAATGAATGGCACTCTGCTTAGCAAAGAATTTCTTTGTGACAGTGAGGGGGAACCAGATTGTATATTCAGTAGTGTATTACTTAGGAAAATATTTCTTGACCTTGCTGTTTCAGTATAAATGCTTTCCTCCCAAACACCTCTTTCCCAGTGGTAATACTATAAAACATGTGCCCCAAGGGAAACGTTTCTAAAAATGTTCTAATCTTTCCAAGCACTTACAACAGCCTCAGGAGCAATTTTAAAATAAAAGAAGTAAATTCATAAGACTCAACCTCTTCTTTATTTGCAGGAAACTTTGGTTGTGCTGAAATTATTGCAAACTGTACTATCACAGAGAAATACACTTCATTTCTAACTCTCATTTTCTCACACTGCTGTTAACAGCACAATACACAGAAACTCCAGTGATGAAAAGTAAGTGTCCTAATTTACAGTAAATTCACGACCATAAGGCGCACCGGACTATAAGGCGCACTTTTTTTTTTTGCAGTGAGGTTCCACCCCCACCTCCCCCTGCGCGTTTGCTGGCCAAGGCCCCGCCTCAACCCGGCAGCCATTGGCCCCCGGGCTGGCCTGTACCCGACGGGGCCAGGGCATGGCCGCCGCCGCTCGGTGGAGCATCCCCGGGGCTAGGGCATGGCCGCCGCCGCTCGGTGAAGCGTCCCCGGGGCTGGGGCATGCCCGCTGCCGCTCCGTGGAGCATCACCGGGCATGGGGCATAGCCACCACCACTCCATGGAGCGTCCCCGGGGCCCTGCTTCTCCAGGAGTCCCGTGGCGCTCCGGGTGACCTGATGCCGGCAGGCCCCGTGCCGCTGCTGCCCTGATTTCGGCGGCTCTCCCCCTTTCCCGCGCCGGGGCTGCCCCGATTTCTGCGGCTTTCTATCCCCCCCGCGCCGGGGCTGCCCCGATTCCTGCGGCTTTCTATCCCCCCCGTGCCGGGGCTGCCCCGATTTCTGCGGCTCTCCCCTTCCCCGCGCCAGGACCGCCCAGATTGTGGCGGCTCTCCCCTTCCCCACGCTGGG